CTTCTTGGATTAGCCGTTAATGGCTTAGATTACTTGACAATTTTCAACATTCTACTTCAATATTCTGCAGGCCAAAAAATGTCCTTCAAAGCACTTGAAATGCTGTGCAGCATCTTCCGGCATCTCATGAAATAGGCTTGAAACAAGTTTCTGAACACGTTGGGCTTTTTCAGCTTATAAGTTTTCAATCCACTTTATCCATTTGACCTCAGCCGCTCATTCAAAGATTTGAGATAAAAACGAAATGAAAGTTATTAAGGATGGAAAATGAAAACAGAAGAGACAAACGAAAAAAACACGTTTTTGGTCTGACGTAACAAATCTTGAATGGCATCTTGACAAACAGTACGTGTAGTCAGCCTGGTCGGCTCAGAACAACAGCAGCAGCAGCATCATCATCGTTACTGTCAAAAAGGATTTTGATGATAACAGGTCGGCATGAGGCGAGACATCATGTCAAAGCTGACCTGTTTATGTGTGAATGAAGATTATAATGGCTCGTAAGAAAGAGGAAATAGGAAGGACTTACACACTGAACGAAGAGAATAACAACATAAGTGAAAGTGTGGTGGTCTTTAGATGATTCAAAATGACAAAAACACAAAAAGATGACAGCGGCGGCAACGATAACATTCAAATACTTTAATGGCTTGTCTTCACTCTCGATATCTAATATACAAAGAAGAGACTAGTTAGAAATTAGACGATGGATGATGGAGAGTAGAGGAAGACGAACAAGAAGACGAAGAAGAAGATGGAGAAGAAGTAGACGAAGATGACAAAAATACAAAAGTAGAACCACATGTTGCTATTACCCGACGTTGGATTGGATGATCTCGAAACAATGTATGACCGATTACTATGTGTTGTTCTTCTCCTTTTTCTATCTCTTTAATTGTTTCCAACATGAATTACCTCGTACTCTCTCAAGAACTTTCTCTCTTCTTCATCTATCCATCTATCTCTCTATCTCTCTCTCTCTCTTAAAGTCTATTGCTTACCATGCCATACCATCTCTCTTCCTCTATCCATCTCTCTCCTTCTTCATTCCATACTCCTCTCGAAGCTTTTTTTTTTCCAAAAATCCTGTAAACGAGACAAACAACTATGTCGACAGAAACTGATTGGCATTATTGGCCATTTTGATCAATTCGGATAAGAAATTATTACTTTTTCTTAAACAAGGGACTGACACGAATCATCTGCTACCAAGAATTTTTGGAATTTTAACATGTTCCAAGTGAAAAAAGGTCTTTTTCATTGAAACATCTGCGTATACAGAATACTATTGGATTGTTAACTTCGAGCGTCTCACTCTCTTCTTCGTATAAACGGATTTCGATTCATGTTTAGTCAGGCAAAACTTGATGAAACATCATGGAGTTGGAGAAGAAGAAGAAGAAGAGCTTGGTGAGATGACCTTCTGAGACTGAAAAGTAGTTGTCCGAAAGTCATCAGTTCTTTCAAATCACTTCTAGATGAACATAAGGCGGCGAAATATAAACATCAGATGTTGTCTACGAGCGAACATCAATAATCCATTTCATTTGCTAGGTGATTATTTTGAAATTGACAAGCAACTTGCCATACAAGGAAGCGGGTCTGTATGTGTATACATATCGATGAGAGAGAGAGAGAAGTTGAGAGAGAATGAAAAGGAGCATGAAGCATGGCAGAAGATGAATTAAGCCGTTCGTTTATTCTTTTGCCCAAATTCTTCCTCAATATAATGTATAAGTCCATATAAAGACTTATTATACAAACAGTGATTAAGGCCTCACAATCGTAGATGACAGTCAGATATGTCGAATGCGAAAATCCATGCCAGCGGGTTTCACTCTTGATGACATCTGTTCAAGAGGATTAACTATAGATATCTCTTAGATGTCCTGAAGAATCATGATCATTTCAAGCTGTTAATGTCCGGAAAGAACGAAAAAGGAGAGGATGAATGGATGAATGCGGCTTTGGGAAGAACAGATTGCGCCAATATATCGGCTTTGTTACATCATAGTCATGATCCATCGTTTGCTGTAATATCTCAGAGATTTCTATGAGGGACGAACTATTCAGCCGGAAAGGAATGAAAGTTTTTTTTTTCATTTTTTTTTTCAGTTTGCTTGGCTGTTGTAACTCATCCAAATCTCATTTGTCAGGCAAAGACATCGTCATTCATGCCCTTCATCCTCCTTATGGCCATAAAAGGATTTCTGTTTATTCTACGGTTATTCGAATTATGCTTTTCGAATATCTTTTTTCATTCGTCTTAATCTATCGCAAAACTTTCATTGATGACAATCAAGCTTTTCGTCAACTAAAAAATCCAAGAGAAAGTCGTTGAGATTTTAAAAAAGAAAAATGAATGATTGTAAAAGGATAGACGGATGAACGTACTAGAGAACAGAGGAGAGATTTCATTATTACAGCTATTTAAGGTAAGAATTAGAGATATAGAGCATGCAAGATATTTGGAAAACTAGTTCCAATCCTCTGTCAAATTACGCTAAATGGCATCTCTTAAGAGACAGTACGGAGGAGCGGAAGAATGAAAAATGAAAAGATACAGAGATCGAAAAGAAAAATGAAACAAAGAGAGAGAGAGATGGAGATAGAGAGAGAGAGAGAAAGATAGAAAGCGATCAAGCAGTCTTTTCTCCTTTTCAACATTGTTGTCAACGTGTCGACGGCTAGCAGGCTTTTGTCGCCTTCATGAACTTCATCGTTCATGGGCACGGCCAGAACATACCCCGCGCTAATTCGAATCTACCTTCTTGCATGTTGTAAAAGAGACCTAACGTCGGATAAAAAGTGCAAGTACGAGAGAGAAGGAGAGAAAAAACGGAGAAGAGATTAATGCCATCTATAGAAGTGGCAAGATGACATAAAACGAGCCTGTTTACAGAAAAATGTTACATAGAGATGGCTTTAATGAAATCCAAGGGACTAACTTCTTCTTCTAAAGATTTTGTAACTTTCGGCTCATTTAGTATCACTTCCTAAGATGGATTAATATTTTTCATCAAATTGCTTTGTATCAAATAGCGAGGCAAAAAGAGAGAGAGACATGACGATATGGAAATATCAAGCAAGAGGAATACGAGAAATGCTACTCGGATTTACCCCGAGCAAGCTGTAATATGGATATCTCTGCTAGAATAGATACATAGTTAGAAGTTGAAACGTCAGAAAGCTAACGCGATGGATGCATTGAAATCTGCTCAACGTGAACGCTTAATCATCATCTAGGGGTAGGTGGTGGATTGAGTTTACATCTGTTTGGCTAATGAATCGAGATTGCCTTTCATGGTAAACGTTTGTCAGCACTAAATCTATATAAATACAAGAGTTGATCCATCATTACCATCTAAGGTGTTTCGCTTAAGGTTTGCAAACATACTAAACTAGAAGTTCTTCAAGAGCTGAACGCTGCTTTCTCTTCCAAATCTGTACATATCTCACAGAAATATTAGACGAACATTGTTAACATTGACTGAGAGAAATATAAGCTTGGATGTTGGAAAACACACTAAACAGCGTGTCATCTCTCACACCTTGATGAACATCAACAAGCTGATGATTGAAGCTTACATAGTTGAGCACTGTTGAGTTTGAAGAGCAAAATCGCACCTCTAGTTTGGAAAGAAATACAATACTACCATCTTGTCTGCTCAAACTGCCCGAGATAACTCTCCCACTTATCTCAGTCTTTTTCAATTGTCTAACCTCGTTTATTTTCTTATTCTCACACTTCTGCATTATCTCTTTCTCTTGGGGTAACAACATACAATACAATGAGTTTGACAGATACACACATAACGAACGAGCGAAAGAAGACGAGAATCGTCTAAGCAAAGATGAAGCTAAAAGACTTCAGCTCTTTGGTCTACTCAATCCCAAAACCAAGACATCGTCACTATTTTCGCAATAAATTGGTTGGGTTAACAAGGAAGGGGGGTCTACTCTTACAAATTTATTTCTTTTTTTTGGCATCATGCAGGAAGAAAGAAGCGAAACAAAGGAAAGACAATCCCAAGTGAAGTACAGTGAGGGAATGAGATCAGTTAAGGATTTGGATATTCCTACGCGCACAGTAGGCTAACAAAAGTGCAACGTCTAAGGCCATTAGCATAAATGATGTTACAGACGTTTACAAGCGGCTGGCTTTATTTCATTTGAAATATCTATGAAGACCGGTTGCTTTCGCTGTGCTCTCAACTCATATAGTCCATTAAGCTAGATGAGTCCACGCCAAAAATGTTTGGTAGTCCAGAAAAGGAAGAAACTCACTTTGACTGTCGGTCTATCCTTTGAATGCAAACTATGGATGAGATTTCGTTCCACTTCGTTGGTAATCCTAATCTAATTGAGATTTCCTGTAACGTCTTGCTTTATAAACATTAATCTTGATGCCAAAACATTACTTGAGCCGACCGTATTCGTTGTAAACTCAAGTTAACAACAGCGGATCTGTATCCGAGGTTAATCCTTCAGCAAATTCTCTTGCGAATTGAGGCTGAGATATTTGAGCTCAGCCTAGAAAGAGCGGCATTTCCTCAAGTCTACCTCAACGCTTTAATCACCCCTTATCTATTTGCTAAGCCGTATTAAAGCCGTTTGTATCTGGAGCGTGTGTCATCCTCCCATTGATGATAATAGCCCTTTATGGCTAAACATCTAAACACGCTTTATTTAAGGCCAATTGTTATCACTCTTGAAGGTATTGCAAAAATAAATACGCTTATACGTCCAGCTTGAGGGCAGGGGATCAACCAAGAAAACAACAATACACAATATGATTTTGAGATTTATTCATTTTATGAGTTAGAGTGATTTTTTTTGGAAAACATAACGATAAGCTCAGCAGCTGAAACATCACGGGTTCGAGTATATACAACATTGAGCAATAGCATCTTTAAATTGCCCTGATTATTGTGTATGGAGACTCACATCGAAGCTCCAGGAATGAAAGAGAGAGATACAGACGGTGTTTTGATCCTCATTCATAAGACTGTCAAGTCGGAATATTCTCGAGGCGCCCAAGTTGTGTTCTCCACAACTGATAATGCTTGAGGATGAACACATTCTGGAGCATCATGTTTCATTGACAAATTCTGAAATATCAAATACACACACATTAATCTTGAATTATTAGCTGTTATAATACCGTTGATACATGGGTGCTGTTCTCTTTATCATTCATTGGAGTCGTTGAAGTACTTAGAGGCTAAACAATAAATCTTTAATGGCCAAATAAAATGTTGTTATCATACTTGTACTCGGGAGAAGGCTGAATTATGCACAGCACTCAATGAGTATTGGGGTTGAGGTCGATAAATGGTATCAGGATTTGCCACATTTTGTATATTCTAAGTATTATCAATCATTACTATCTCTAATTGATCGCAACTTACATAATTATTAAAAACTGCTGAATAATCAGTAGACATTGGTGAGCCCATAGTTGGTGGCAAGAGAGCTGCCATTAACTATAAATCATATAGATTACAGATGAAACCGTGACTGGCACTAACCTGGAGTTGTTGCTGGTAGTAAAGAGCATCAGTCATCTTTCCAGGTTTCTCTTCTCCAGAGCTAGGAGAGTTTGCGTTGTTTATATCATTGGATGACGAATTTTCCGGCAACACCTCACTTGGGGAACTTGGCGATTCATTTTTCACAGCTCGAGAGTACTCTGAAGAAGACATTGAGTTCAAGAAACTCAAATGAAAACTGACGTCTACGGTTTTGGGAATTACATTCCACATAGCTCTTACCATCGTGCCCCGTGTGAGTGGTAATTAATTTACTAATAACTAGAACCTATAAAATCCGAGAGTAATGACAGATGGGAAGGTTCCAACTAACTTTTTCCGTGAAATTATATACAAGTCTTAACATGGCAGAACAACCACATGGCAGATATGTCTGGTTGGGTCGTTTTCCGGTCCCTATTGAAATATAGAACGTATAAATAACTGAACTCTGTAAGTACCTCTTATTCTGGGCTGTCCGTAATGAACACATTGGTAAACTACATATCTATATCGACATTTGGGATCAACAGAGCCATCAATGTTCTTTAATGTTTCGGAAGATGCAACACGGAAGTTATGGCTTTTCCTTAGTTTCCAACACTCGAAGGAGTTACAGAAATCATCATAGCTGAAAATGAAAGAATGATTGGATACACAAACATCAAGCTCCGATTAAACTTTGAATTGGATTCGCTTGATCATGCTTTACACTAATCACACAAAAAACAGTTTTTGCTTTCCGATTTTACAATGGGGAATTCAAGAAAGATATCAGTTGATCTCGTCTTACAACCCTATTCTTCCATAAAATATCCGTAAGTGCCTCCATTCAGTGGCTTACAATAATATAAAACAAACACAACCGCTCCGCGCGTCTCTACGATTAGCAATGAACTTGTCACAAATCACAAACCGCGTAATTTTAATTTCAAAATAAGCGAGCGGAAATAATTTTCTTTCAACTGATTCATAAGCGATGTTCAGTAGATGCAAATGAAATGTCGAGAGGCCCACCTTTTGAATTTGCTTCCCGCATCAAAATCAGAATCATCGGAATCAGAAGTATCGACGGCAGGTACATGCATGCTTTCTTCTTCTGCCTTCGTCCTACTGACGTTAACCTTTTTCTCGACCTCAACATCTTCTTGTTCCGACTTAACCACTGCACTAAACTTCTTATGTGGAAGTTTAAGTGCAACTTTCGGTGTATTTTTCAACTGTTTGCTATCCTCTTCATGATGTTTCTTCTGTGCAATTGATGCAGCTTTGACCGAAGTTTTCATTGGAAGCTCCTCAGCTGTGTAACTTTTTTTTTTCTTGGTGGTATCGAAGTTTGCCAAAGACTTTCTTTTCTCCGCTGATTTACGCCCTTGTGCTATAACATGCTCCGGTATAGGCTCAGTTTTTCTCGATTTCAGTTTCACTGCAAATAAAATGTTTATGTGCATTCTTCTAAATACTGTCCCTACTTCTATCAGGAGATGTTTCCATGACAATGAACATCTCGTTGTGATATAAGCTGTTTGGAATCCTCTTACGCTTAGCACTCGGTTCTCCATCCTTAAATAGATACTAACAAATATATTTAAAATAATAATATAAAACCTTATTTTGCGTGCCACCAGCCATTTTCCTCATTGAAAGTTTGTTGAGAGAACGTGTGTAGACCTTTTCGTAGACGGAAACCTAGAAGTGAGTCCATAAAATCAATGAAAAAATGCAAGAAGGCGCATTGTTTTATCGATTAGTAAATCTAAACTACAAATCTCTAATAATCATTTATAAAAAAAGTGTTCATTTGTAGTAATGTCAATGATATTCTTAAGACTAATTTTAGGAAAACGATTTGTCACAGATTGTTTACCAGACTCGCAAGGAGTAAACCGCCTCATAGAGTAACCTACGGTTATTTTGTACATCGAACTGTGACACATTTTGAGTTTAAGCTAATATTACTCATGACCTTTTATAATATGAACATGATAAGGTTTAGCTAATAGCAAAATTACTAAGATATGATTTAGTTAGGCGCCAAAGTCTGACATTTGCGATACATATGGTTCGGAATTTATGACGACCCTAAGTGTTCCTCTCAATCCTTTTGTTACCTATTCTCTTTGAATACTTTAGCCAGAAGATACAATCGTCGGACAACAGAGAATGGAGTGATACATAGAGAGAGAGGCAAAGAGGTAGAATGATAGAGAGAGAGAGAGGATGAGAGGGAAAAAAAGAAGTTTCGTGGCTGGAATAGAAAAAGTTTGAAACTGATTGATTATACGGAGAACTGTAGAAAATTGATGATTATTGTGCCGTTTTCAATAAGCTGATTCACAGCTACTACGAATCGCCCAAAATGAATATTCTAGTTCTCATGTGCTACTTCGATTGATTACAATTCGTATAATAATAGGATTGTTCGCAACTTTCGGTTACTGACATTTCAACAGTTTTGAAGACATTTTCATGTTTTTTTTTTGAAAATATTCATTGGAGATAAGAAAATGAGAGCTACGCTCCTACCTAATCGTTCCATTTCTCCTTATTATCACCTTCCACGGTCATTTATGGTTGTGGTTCTGCTTCCTTCCTGCTTTTTTTGAAACCACGTTGTCCAGCCTTTTCTCATAAATTTATTACAAACACCAGAACTTTTTAAAAGTTTAATGATTGAACTGATTTTATCTGACCTGTGCCAACAAATGACATTGCAACTTCCCCGCCCTCTTTACAGAATGCTGCATCGCATTCAAGCAGAGATCTGCACCTTCTTTAAACTTAGCAAACTTATTCTCCTAAATTATTCAATCATACACATTTCATTATGAACTATATATGTACAATACTATAGTTTATGTAAATACTGTGAACCTCCAATCGGGAGCTCTCTTATATGTCATCTGATTAGCATAACAAATGCTTTAGGTCCCATGAAGAAGAAAAAAAATTAATTCTATCCGGCAACTAATTCAAATATGAATATTTGTCATCATTTTTTTAAGTTGCAGGTCGCTTTCGGTTGCTTGTTTTATCTCTCTCCCGCTTTCAATTCTTTCCTCAGGAAACGTATCTTTATGAACTCTCCTGAAACAAAGTGCAAATGACCAGATGCGTCAGATTTGCTAACACTTTTTGACCTCTCTTCTCTCGAGATATCTGTTATCCTTCTGACAACGTGATCGATTTATAATATCCTCGTCCTTTTTTTTTCGTTTATTATCTGATTCTTTCAATTATTTTTTATTATCGCAAGAATATTTGTTTGGTTTATCCAATGACTTTTTCTATTTGCCAACTTTTTTTTATCGTTATTCTTACTCAGGTCGGCAGGTAAGCGAATCAACGCCAGAAACAAACTTAGAGAAATGGCCGAGAGAGCTGCTGGTGAGTTTCTGACCTTCGTCTATCGCAAAGTTCAATTTTTTTTCAGAATCCGTGCCTTTGACGGAGAAAGAAGATCGTAAGTTCATCTGAAAAGAATTTCAGAAAAAAAAATGTCTTTGTAGGCGCCCAGAATAAGGATGCTAAGATCGAAGCCCTGCAAGTGGAGGAGCCTGTTCCTATTGTCAGTTTTCTTAAAATAGTTTGAGAAACAATTCAAATCTTACAGGATGCCAACAACTTGGTCTATTTCATTGTTCTGTTCCACGGTATCGGAACTCTCCTGCCATGGAATGCTTTCATGAACATTGCTCCAGATGTTTGTTTGACTCGAGATCCCTTAATTGAACACAACATTCCAGTATTTCATCAATTACAAATTCCAAGAGTGGAATGGAAACGTCAGTACTCCTACTAGTATTTCCAACAACTTCATGCATTACCAACTTATCGCTGCTCAAATTCCGAATCTTTTGTTCAACTTCGTCAACATCTTTGCTGCATCCTATTTCCGGTAACTTGACTCATATTTCTTCCACTTACTAATTACATTCAGAATGGATATTCTGAAGACTGTTTGTGGATCTTTGAGTGTGGTCGCTTCCATGCTTGTTATCACCATGTTCTACATCTATCAGAACACCTGGGATTGTGAGATTAGAACTTCGAAACTTTGAATTAAACTTACTTTCAGATATGGTTCTCTTCTTCTGGATAACCATTATCACCATTGTTGTTTTGAATGCTGCTAATGGGCTTTATCAAAACTGGTTTGTATCTCATTATTTATAAATTTGATCTTGCTCATTAAGTATCTTCGGAGTGGCCTCTGAGCTTCCCTTCAAATATACCAATGCAGTCATCATCGGAAATAATATCTGCGGAACTTTCGTCACCATCATTAGTATTTTAGCCACTAATTGTTAGTTTCAAATCTCTTCAATCATGAATGTAATGTTATTTCTAGTGTCAAGTGACGTGCAGTTTAATGCCACAGCATTCTTTGGAATTGCTCTTCTCTCATTGGTTATCTGCTTCATCTCTATCTTCTTCTTGAGAAAACAAGTGAGAAATGCTATGAGTTCATGTTGTAACTTTTGTAGGCATTCTACCGTTTCTACAGCGAGAAGGCTGAAGAGACTAGACAAGCTGAAGCTCGTCTTAAGGGGCCTCCAGGACTCGATGACTACGTCAGCGCTTTCAAACAAGTAAGAAGTTACTGATAGAACTATCTAACATTACCTGGCACAGGGATATCCTCAATTCATCAATGTCTTCCTCGTCTTCTTCGTTACCCTCACCATCTTCCCCGGAATGATGCTCAACATCACACCCAACGGAAAGGGAGAGGAATACGACTTCTTTTTACCTAGTAAGACTGAAAAAGCAATATACGTTTCAAGTTGATGACTTACAGAACATCTCTTCCAACCTATCACCACATTCCTCCTTTTCAACGTTTTCGCCTTTTTCGGATCTCTCTTAGCCGGATGGAAGCAAGCTGTTAGTTCTTGATTCTTCTATAGTTCCTTATGTTCTTGTTTAGCCTGCTCCTGGAAAATTGTGGATTCCAGTATTCGCCCGTCTTCTCCTCATTCCATTCTACCTCTTCAGCAACTACTATGTTAATGAGAGAACTCTTCCCGTGTTCTTCGGAAATGTCTACCTTTACATTCTTGTTTCAATTGTAATGAGTGTTTCCAACGGTTACTACAGTGGTATGGCTATGATGTATGCTAACACGTGAGTTCTTCTAAACAAAAAACATTCAAAAACATAACCTTTTCAGAACCGTCGATGAATCAAAGCAACGTCTTGCTGGATGTATGGCTGCATTCTTCCTCATTCTTGGCATCTTCTCCGGAGTTCTGTTCTCCCTTTTCATCTCAAGCTGTGTCGCTTAGAAGATCTTCCATTACGAATTCGAAATTTCTGTAACTCGTTTACTCATGTTGTTACTTCTTTTGGTTACATATTGTTATACTGTTCTCCTCCAATAATAGATTACTTTCGTTAAGCGAATAAAACTTACTTTCTCATTCACTTCTTTTGTTTCATGACGTACACAATCAATTCCAGTGCGACCGACACATCGAGCACAGCTTAATGAAGTACAACCGCTCCTCACTGATACAACCGTAAAAATGATTTCGTAACTTCCGTTTATTACATGAGAAGAATTTGATTGAATAATTAAGTTATATTGTTTACAATGTTAGATATCCCCTGGTCAACGATGTGTCGCTACCGTAATCTAACTAGTTAATATATCGACTCAAATTCATATCCAAGCATAAGTTCCTCCCACTTTTTCCGCAAAATCATATTCTTCACTCTTCGTGAATGATGATTCCGACTAATCTTGCTTTTGTTTATTCCGAGTCTATCGATTGCATGTAAAAAACCATGTCCCTGTACATATAATCCATCGGACGCAGCCGAGACAATGACGCTACTTTATGGCGGGAATTTTGAATCATAAATGTTTTAGAGCAATAGCTTTTCTCTCTTACTGAGTGTTTCCTCCGTTAACAAAAAAGAATCCACAGAGAAATAGCTTAAGCTGAAGGAACAGCGATCGGTTTTTATTTAAAAGTTTGTTTTCATGTTCTTGGTATTGATTTGTAGAGATGATAAGAAGAGTTTTTGGTTTGCAATGCTGTGTTACAAAGAAGGAACATGAACAACGTTGTTAAACATGTTTGAAATGATTATGTTTTCAAATATATATGTATATATATAGATATATAGCTCTCATTTTCGATTTCCGTTTGTAATTGCTGCGCTTTGTAATCGTCTAGCAGTTCATGCTTGCTTCGCGTGTATTCCAATATTTCCATTTTCAGACTCACTTTAGCTAATGGGACAATAATGAAATCGATGACATCTGTTACCTCAGCATCTGAGTAAGTTTTTTCACTTCTGTTTCACTTACTTTCTTGATTAGGATTAAGAAAATCGGTCGATGGTCGTTACCCAACTGCAATCTCAAGGTTGAGAAGAATTTGCCTGGATATTTTAGACAACAAATTGATAATTATAAAAATTGGCATGATAAAGTTCTAGGGATTAATGTACGTTTCATTCCGCTTGCATATTCATTCTATTGATCTGTACAGGATGATGGTCTCACACATCTTAGAATGGATTTAAAGCGCATTATACTATGGAGAGGTCGGCGTTCAAGGGTAGCTTTTGAAATCATTTTTCAGCTCATTCTTTCTCAATCTAGGCCGTTAAACCATTGAGATCTAAAAGTAAAAACCTTCGGGATAAAATTGTTGAGATAATATCGGATATAATGACGCTTGGAATAATGACTTCGCCAGGTAAAAGGAAGTGTAAACTATTCGTCCTCATATCCACTTTCTAGATCCTGTTATCCAAGCTTTTAAAGAATTAATAATTGCGATATGTGACCAAAAATATTTTGATGATGAGTTGACGTAGGTTCTTTCTGCTTCTCCTTTTCCTAATTTGAGTCCTTTCAAGTGATATTTTACGCACGCTGTTATTTAAAAAAGAAAGCGAAGTTTGTTCCACGTCAGAGGAGGGCTCTGTGAGTTCCGCACTTTCAAACTCTTTTATCTTTGATTTTGAAGAATAAAGAAAATGAATCTCTTGATGTATCAGAGGCCTCCGACCCTACCTCAACTTATGGCGAAACAAAAGAGGAATTGTCTTCTGTTCTACGTATGTTTAGTGTTACTTTTATATTTTCTAAGCCTGACTCAGCTACACCTGCAGCCACACCACAACACTCAGCTGAGGTTCCTGTGGAAATAGCAGAAAGTTCTACTAGTACTCAGTATGTTTAACTTGTTTCCGTCATGTTCATTCGTTTTCGCTCTAGACCCGAACCGGCAGCCGAAGAGGAGGGGAACGAACACCAGAATCCCGGTAGTAGCGAACAAATTCGCAATGGAAGAAGTATGCGTAGCAACCGAGTTTGTTGATCATGATCTTTTTCTAGGTGTTTGGTTGCATCTTCCCAGATTGACGGAGGAAGAGGAAGAAGGTTAGTGTTCAGCTCTCAACGTATTGATAATGTTAAAACTAGAACTGTGCTACGTGTGTAGGTCTCCAGTAGGAGCCGATGAGAACGAGCCGCTACTACAATGCTCGAAAAAGGTAGCAGGTGCTAAATGCACTACAAGATTCCATTACACTTGCGCTCGGGTTAGTTGTGTTATTTATAACCATCCAATTATCTCGTTCAAGAATTATAACGCTGGAGAATTTAATTTGGATTATATGAAAACTTTAATTGGTAATTATGTTTGTCCACTTCATCATTGTGACTTGTGCTGGTTCGAAAGAAAAAAGAACACTGCCACTCTAGGTTAGGAATCATCGAGTTTCGCAAGACCAAAGGTTTTCAGGGAGAGTTTTGGAATGCTCTCAGTGCTACAGGGCTTTTCATGACTTGTGTCGACCGGCAGGTTCTAGTGTGACGAAGCAAGTTCGACAACGGAAGGCTGAAAATAATGTAGTAGAAGTAGTCTTACTTCTCCAGAACGTTCTCATCCTCCCTGTTTCAGTACAATGTTGATACCGTCGTTTGTCATATACATACGAAAGACCCGTTTAAGAAACAAAACGCGAAAGGACATTTACCATTCTGTTGTGAATGTGAAGAGAGAGGTAAGGGCGGTTCGTGTTTGAGTAAATGTTGTTTTGTTCAGGAGAAAACCCTTTGATTCCTTGCTCTCAATGCATACGGTCATATCATTGGGCATGCCGAAGAGTAGAGCGTACACTTGGTAAAAATCCATTGCGTTCCGTGTGATTCATTTATCTTTCAGGTAATCGGTATGATGAGAGCGATCCCTTGTGTGAAAGTTGTATCCACGGAGAATCAATCCGCGTCAATCAGTTCCTGATTGCTAAATTCAATAATGGGTATGTTGTTATTTATAAACTTTGCTGACGTCTTTCTCAGATTTTTCGCTTGCACATCAGTAGCACTGAATGATTATCCAGCTCATTGCAAAGCCAAGTAAGGTTTCCACCCAGTGGCTTGATCTACGCCCCGTTTTTCAGGGATAAATACGGTCACAAGTTGAATGAACCCGGATTCTTAGCCGTCAAATGGGCTGGGTGTGCCAACTTATTCTCTTTACTCCCTGCTCAAAACGCAGTTCCTATGTTCTCCGGTTCTTTCGAGCTCATAGGAAAAAAGAAAAAGGATAAGGATTATATCGAAGGTTTGCTTCTGAGGTGATCAATTGTTGTTTCAACCTCTTCTGTTTTAGCTTGGAAACTGATGGACGACAAGATATACACTCCGCGTCCAGTGTTCAATGTACTCAATGACAAGTACACTAAAATAAGAGTAAGCTTTTCAAGCAAATAGAATCTTAAGAAGCACCATTTTAGACTTCCGCTTATCATGCTGATTGTCCTAAGCCACGTCTGCAACTCGTCCAAGAGGAAGAAGTTATGTGTGACTGTCCTGTAGGTGAAGAATCAAAATTCAATGAACTCTTGGGATTTAGCCTGGAGAAGATCGCTGCGGTCCAAAGAGCAAGTGTCAGAACCGTAGCACTCATCAAGAGTGTCCAGAAAGTTGTGAGCGAGTACAGGGCGGATGTCAAAATCGATGTATATCAAGAAAAGCTGTGAATCCTGGTATAGTATCTAAAGCCACGGAGCTCAAAGGAACTGGGGTCTTTGCTACGGCGACCCTTCCTGAGGTATGCTCACAGATATCTTCTGTATACAATTGATGTCAGGGAGCTTTCATTGCGGAATATGCCGGAGAAATCATAAGCTTAACAGAAAAACAACGGCGGATAGATCAATCTGCTCAATGTAAAAATGATGAAGAAAAGCATTATATGATGCAGTTGGATAAGAATCGAGTGATCGATTGTAAGTATAAAGGAAATGTAGCAAGGTAAGCCGAGACGTTACTCTCTTCCTTCATGTTCATACTTCTCAGGTTCTTAAATCACTCATGTGATCCTAACTGTATAGTTGAAAGTATGGATGTAGTTGTAAGTTCTAATGGAATGGGTAAAGGATCCTCTGTTCGAGTATAGACGAGCTATCTTGACTCTTCTCAAACATCTTTTCTAGTATGATCGACGTGTTGCCATTTTCACTAGACGTGAAATTTCTGTAGGGGAAGAATTGTGCTTTAATTATGATATGCAAGAGTATTCTGTGGGAACACCTCTCCCCGAATGCCGATGCGAATCCAGTAACTGTACTGGAAAGCTTGGAAGAACTGGTAAGCTCTCTTCGTTAAGTATGTTCAACGCTTCTCAGAATATGACCGGAGGGAAAAGAAGGCTCGACCTCCTCCAGCAGAGCCAGAAGACAAAGTCAAGCGGCCTAGAAAACGAGCTGTATCTCCAGGTGCATCGACTGGCTCCCAAAGCAAGCGAAGTGCTCAAATTAATAACAAAAAGCCTAAAAAACTCGATGAGAGTAAGGGTTCACCTCTCATTACGATGTCACCTCCCCTATTTACAGAACCTAATAACATCACTAAGGAAATTCACCCAAAAGTATTAAAAGCCGGGCCGATCGAACGGATTCGTACTCAGGTAAACTATAGAGACTAATCAGTTTATGACAACAAGTCTTTCCAGGGTGGCGTTAATGAGAGTGATTGCGAAAGCATAGTTACAGATGATACTGCACCTTCCAACGCTTTTTCAATCTCTTCAGACGCACTACCAGACACAGAGGCAAGGGAAAGTTGTGGTTTGACAGATGGAATGGTTGATGTTGCAGGTAACTCCAGTAGATATCAACTTACACCCAACCGATCACTTTGAGTTGGTAGTTAATGATGTTTTGGTAAGTCTATATCTAGATTACTATAAGTAAAGTTGTCTGATTGCAGGCCGGAAAACAAGAACCCGGCTATCTTCCAGTAAGATCAAATCGAGGACGCAGGAACACTAAATTTAGTCCTTGATACGTGTTAGCTTCTTACTTTTTGTAATGTACTTAATCAAACTAACTTATACGTAATGATCTCAGGTCCGGGTTATTGATTAAAACCGTTCATATAAATTCTGAGTACTTTTGAACTATTTTTATTTGAGTGTGCAATCTATAACTATCACATGCAAAGGGGCGTATATTTCACAGGTAGAGGAGTGAAGAAACTTATGCAAAAACACTGGACTAGCCAGTTCATAATCAAAATCAATGAAATTTCAATATATATATAAGGAAAGTTATTAACACAGTGAAATTAATTTGGAATGGTCCATGTGCTGACTGAGCATTAAGGCTCATCGTTTAATTAACCATCTCCTAATGACCATCGATCAAACCCATGAAATATAAGTTAATTCAAATATCTACAAACAAGAAGCTGCAAAAGGTCTTAAATAGGAGATTCCCTAAGTAGAAATATTGAAACAATGATATTCGTTAAATGAAAATGATAGAAAATCTATTTAAAAACTAAAAATTCACATTTATGTATATATATATATATATATGGTCAGGCGCTTACTTATTAACAGTTACAATCCTTCTTAACACCCGAAGAATTGGCATTGGCTGATCGAGGGAGAGTTTGCTTCGGCTGAACACCGGTATCAGCTTGATTTAAATCCAAACTAGAACAAATATGCATCAACCTCAGTTAAGCCTTAACCAAAACAAACCTTCCATCTTGAATGTTCTGATAAATTTTCCTAGCGGTTTCCAAGAAAGCATCCTCCACATGATCTCCACTGCAAAAGACAAATGTTTCGAGATGTTACATAAGCATGTCTTACGTTTTTGCGGAAACCTCTAAGAACACCAGTCCATTCTCTTCAGCAAATGCTTTGGCTTCTTCGTAAGGGACGTCTCGTTGCTCTTCGAGATCTGCTTTGTTTCCGATCAATAAAATTGCCTGAAACAAGATTCAAAAGCAACATAATTTGGTTAGCTGCTCGACTCACAGTGTTAGGGTTTGTTAGGCTTCTGGCATCGGTAAGCCAGCTACTCAAATGATTGTAAGTGCTTCGACGAGTTATGTCATACACCATTAAAGCGCCAGCAGCCCCGCGGTAATACGATCGCGTAACAGCTCGGAATCTATAAACAATCGAATTAGTCATTGATGGAATAAAATAAATGAGTTAAATACCTTTCCTGTCCAGCAGTATCCCAAATCTGAAGCTTTATTTTCTGTCCGCTCACTTCAATGATTCTTGTTCCGAACTCTACGCCAATAGTATGGGGGCAATCGGACATAACTGGAAAAGAAAAAAAACGATGAAACTGTCCGAAGATTAATGAGGAAAAAGTAAAACTTACATTTCTTCTCCGTAAATTGGTGAAGAAGACAAGATTTCCCGACTCCCATATCCCCAATAATGATATATTTGAAAATGTATGAGTAATTGTAAGGAGCAGACGACATGGCTGTAAATGAAAGTGAATGAACTTGAAGAAACGATACAGTTGAGATGAATGGTTTTTCAAAGATATAGTCATCGAGTCAAATGATTGTGAACGCAGAGAATGGAAACAAACTATTTCAACACAAGGTCATTAGTCATGAGCAAAATATTCAATACGGCTCTAAATGGGATTCAAAATGCAAATGATTGTTCAAATCGTATAGTGTGATTAATGTTCTAAGTTTTGTTAAAGTGAGAAGCTTGGAAGAATTAAGCTTAAACAAAACAAAAGTGAGTTAGGACAAAATGATTATGGACCATCCATCGATTGGCGGAATCTATGTCAGCAGGTTCGCACCAAATTCACGCCAACGGCTAGTTGTCTGACGTTTTTTACTAATTTCTTGAATAATTATAATTATTTAATTGTTAGACTGTTTATTTAAAGTATATAAAAGGAAATTGTGAGATATACAAACAAATTATAAACTATCACAAGAGATCATAGATATATATGCAGAAATGAGCCGGTTGTTGAGGCTGGGACATATCAGGCAGTTAGCAACTTCGTCTCTGCGGGGAGAGAGAGCACAGGTAATGCAGCAAATTGAATAAGTATAATCTGAGAGAACTTTTTAAAGGACATCACAAGAGTTCCTTTATCAGTTCCTCTTCAAAAGTTTGCAGACAACAAAGGAAAAGCTCCGGCAGCTTGGGAACTTAAGCCATTCCAGACTGAAATAAGTAAAACAGAGAGTGGCATAAGGATAGCAACTGAGCCTCATTTTGGGGAATATTGCACAATTGGAAGTAAGACAATATGAGATATTCAATATGAGCAGCTCTATATATCTCTTCTAATTCATTGTATTCTCTTTAATCTGTTTTTTTGAGTTGTGATCGATAGCGGTGCGCGTTATGAGTGTGGCTATCCTCTGGGAACTTCCCATCTTATAGAAAAACTGGCTTTCGGGGTAGGGAGGAAGTTTTTTCAAACGAATTAATTAATTATTTTTCTTTCTAGTCGACGCTCAAACATCTTTCTAGAGATGATATTTATGGCGTTCTCGAGAAAAATGGTGCTTTAATTGATTGTCAGAGCACAAAGGTGCCTTTTGATTTGCTAAACTGTTTTTGAAATCTGTCTTGACAGGATACTTTCCTCTATGCTGCTAGTTGCTTATCAAGTGGGCTTGACGAAGTTATGGAAATATTATGTAATGCTATCTGGAGACCACGGATCACCCATGAAGAGGTTTCTATCCATAACAATCATCCTGTACACATAATTGGAAAATTTTAAGTTTGAAGAAGCCAAAACTATCATTGTTTATGAAAACCAAGACATGGCTCAACGCATCGAATGCGAACCTCTTCTCACTGATTGGATTCACACAGTATATCATACTTCATACCATGTTTCCTTATAAGTATACCTAAGGCTGCTTTCCGTGACAATACACTTGGGTTCTCCAAATACACATCAGATGAAACATTGGACAAGATTACGATGAAGCATGTCTTCTCATATATGAGCCAATATCATTCTCCTGAAAGAATTGTCGTCTCAGGTTGGATATCTGATTTGTCTGATCGTCAGCTCTTTTTTAGGAGTCGGTGTTTCACATCAAGATTTGAAAGCCGCTGTTCAGAAGCATTTGGACTGGAAAACTACAACTTGGTCGAAGAATCCAGATCTCCTTCTTCCAAACGTTCCTTCGATTGATAATTCCATATCGCAATATACGGGAGGAGAAGTCAGGGTACGTACAAAGTATAAACTATCAGATTCATGTTGATACATCTCAGATGGAGAAAGATCTCTCCAAATTAGCTGTTGGTACTCCATACCCGAATCTTGCTCATGTAGTCCTCGGTTTTCAAGGAGTAGGCTACAAGTAAGGCTGTTTTCACTCGATGAACGGCATTACATTGTATTTTCAGAGATGACGATTTTGTAGCTTTCTGTGTTCTTCAATCACTCCTAGGTGGTGGAGGATCATTTTCTGCTGGAGGCCCTGGCAAGGGAATGTACACTAGACTTTACACAGAAGTTATGAATAGGTGAGAGAGTGAGTAGAGTAGAGAATGATCAAACGATTTTTTCAGATGTTATTGGGTATATGCTGCCACAGCCTTCAATCACTCTTATGCTGATGGAGGACTCTTCTGCATTCAAGCTAGTAGCGATCCTGCTATGGTATTCCATTTTTCATTACCATTTGAAGGTTTTCCTTTCCAGATTAATAATGTGCTAATTGTACTGTTCGATCAGTTCTTAAGACTTCTTCAAGGGGTTCATAAGGAAGAATTGGATAGGCTAGTTCTCAATTGTTTTCCTAATTTCCGCTTACGTTTGCAGAGCTAAGATTCAGCTCAAATCGCAGTTGATGATGAACTTGGAAATCCGTCCAGTAATGTTCGAGGATATGTCTCGTCAGGTAATGGGGCATGGAACAAGACGGAAGCCGGATGAGTATATGGAGAAAATTGGTTTGAATGAAGCCAGTTGTATGCTAGCTCAAACGAGAAACGTTGCAGATCTGGTGACTAACAAAGATATCATACGAGTAGCTGAAAGGATGATGTCCCATAGGCCGTCGTTAGTTGGATATGGTGATATAAAGCTGCTGTCGGTATGTTCTTCTGCTCTATTACTAGTAATTATCCCAATTCAAGTCATACCAAGCGCTGGATGACGCAGTTGCTCGTAAAAGTATTGACGAGTTAAAGCAGAAGAAGAAAGTCTTTAGTTGGCAGTAGTTAAGTAGTGTATGAGTACACTGACATGTTAGAGGAACGAACTGGTCTGAATTTGTTCAAATTACATTTGATAGTTGTTGATTTGTTTCTGTTGTTTATATTGTATGTGTACAGATCTCATAAAAAGAATTTGAAATATGATTTTATTAAAAAGTATCTAAACATTAACAAACTAGGCGACACACGAGGATAAGCTCTAAACATATTGCTTGTTGAGAGGAAGAATTTGGAAATGAGATGTGTGGAGAACAAAGTTTTTGTAAGTTGAAACATTAAGAAATGTAATAAACAAGAGACATTTGAGAGGCAAGTGGATTATTGCGTTCATTATTTGCTGCAGAGCGTTTTTGTTATCTTAAGGCTTTGTTGAAGAATCCAAATTAGGCAATTATGATCACTGCGGCAGAAAAAGCAGAGATCAGCTGTGTGGAATATCATATAAAGCGTTGAATAAAGCAACTTTTTCTACCGTTAAAAATCTAGGAAAAAGGAATTTACAAACAACTCAGAAATTTTCAAAAAAAATAAAAAAAATGCGAAAGATGTAAGTTACACCGGAAACAGATCTATAAATTGAAAGTATATAATCTTTAAATGACATACAATTGGTAATATTTTCTTTTTTTTAATATCGGATTGGCATCTGAGGTTTTCTGTTTTCTCAATCTTTCTTGATTAAACTTGTTAAATCGGAAAAGTTATTAACAGGTGAGCCATTATTGCTCGGACTGGTTGGGGTCTCCTGTTGCGGTGATACAGGGCTGGAATTACTAGTAGGAGCTGATTGTTGCTTTATAGCTTCCATAGCTTTAGCCCATTGTTGCATGTACATTAAAGTTGGTTGTTGCATGATCATCATTGACAAGGCACTAGTATCTGTAAATAGTCAGAATGAGCTGATGTTAATTATTGATAAACATGTTATCAAAAGAGAACATATGAGATTTTCAAAAAAAATGCCGAGCGTGACCCCTTTACTATGCGAAAATTTAGTTTGTTAGGAAATCAACCGTTCAGCGCGCATGCATGTATTGAATGGCTTCACTTCACGTGGACTCGTCACGTGGATTTCACGTGAACATGTTATTGCTTTTATATGCTAATTAGCTTATATGGTTCTCCGTAAACAAATTTTAAGAACATACCGGCAAGATTGAAAGGTAAAACTGGAGGAATCATTGAGGCAGCTGAAGTAGCCGTTGTAGAGGCTGAGGAAGTGGCAGTGGATCTGGGTGGAGATTGTGATCGCCTTGCTGCAGCAGCTAAGGCACTAACTCCGGGATTCATGAGGTTCATAGTTTCTGCAGCTGAAAAAGACAGTTAGTACTTTGATTGTTGTATAAGTTTACGAACCTAATGCAGCATTGGCTGCATGTTGGGTCATAGCCATGACCAAATCTTGGTTAACAAGGTTCAATGGATGAAGAGCATCTTGGAGAGTGCTTCCTCCAGCTGAAAAATATTTCTGGATTAGAAAAACGAAATGAATGAAAAGTAACTTACGAATAAGACTAGGATGTGAATAAGGATGATGATTACTTGAACGCTCTTGCTTACGATATTTAGCTCGGCGATTTTGGAACCAAACCTGAAACGAATTGAAGATAAGACAAGATGTTTATATTATCTATGAATATTCTAAGTGACGTGTTTTATAAATTACTTTCCTCTTCATAATTATTTAGCCTTTAAGAAAATTATTCAGATTAATTTGCATACGGGAGGATTTATAATGGAATAAGAAATTTCCTTATATGTCTTCCTTTCTCTCTCTCTCTCTCTCCCTCTCTCTTCTCTTTATTCTTCATCTCGATCATTTGTAATTACGCATTGGGCTCATTATGAGATGATCATAAGGACAAGATGGAGTACTCAAATTAACAAATTATTCTCTTAATTTGGTAATTTTTGAGTAGAAACAGGTGAGGATTTAGATTGATTCTCTTAGAGATAAGCTATAAGTTATATCTTCACAGCAGGCTGCTAATGTTTTAAAGTCACAGCATGACATAGCATATTCAAGAGAGACATTCCAAATAAGGATAATGTGTGGTTAATAGGATATTTATCAAAAATTGAGTACGGTATGTGGTTTGTATTGATTGCAAAATGGTATGGCTGAACAAGAGATTCAATAAGATGAATCCATATGGAATAGCAACTATTCTTCTTACTGATAATTAGTTTGACTAAAATATTCTCTTGAGGAATGTTTTTTTCGAGTTTTTCTAATTCAAAAATATTTTTTCATTTAAAATTTCGAAAAAAAAAAGAAAAACATAAGAAAGCTAACCTGAACTCGAGCTTCGGTCAATTGTACACGCGATGCTAGATCTTCCCTGAAATGAAAATTTGGTTAATTATTTGGAAAAGAAGTGAAAAACAATAAGTTTTTTTTGTAAATTTCCTTTTTCTCGTGATTCTCTAGTGAATCAACAACACTTGCAAAGCTTAAGCTATCAATTTCTTTTATTTTACTAAATATACAATTATGAATCTGCATATTGTGTGAGAGGAAACTTGAGTGCTGCCTTTTGGAAAGGGCTAGAGTGAAGTTGTAATTGCCGTTTACCTGTGGACAGAAAATTACTTCTCTCTCTTCTGAAACCCCCCTCTGGCTTCGTGAAAAGAGCACACAGACACACACAGACACATAAAAAAGTGTCGGGAATAATGAGAGAGAGAGAGAGAGAGGAAGAGAGTAAGACTATAGGGAGAGAAGGAGATGGTGCATTTGACTGTTCCTTAATAGGCATTGTTTTCAAACGATTATGGCTTATTGAAAATGACAATTGTTTTGTTCTAATTAGAATCCAAGTATATAAAGCATTTCCTATTGGAGTACTTATAAAACCATTTCTGTGCATACCAGGGTGACCCAATAGAATAAGCTTGATGAAGAGAGAAAAGACTTAACAGGTGGCCTCAAGCATGTTCATGTCTTTTCTTCTTTTCGGCGAAGGAAATCGTTTATTTAATTAGCCATTTAAGGGCTTCATATAGAATCATTATAGATAATTATGAAATGAATAGGTTATATGGAGAATTCATAAGTGGAAAGAGCCGACTTTTGACTTCAAATAAGATAAATATCTTTATGAATTAACATTAATTCATGACAAGCAAGAGAGAACGACCCCCCCCTCACTTACTCTCTCCCTACTTCATCTACTTCATCTAACTCCCCCCCCCCACCACTTCCAACTCAAATAATTCTCAAACGAATCCAGGTATAAACTAATATTCGTTTTCATATATAATTAATATTAAATTATTAATTAATAGTTTGACAACGATGATGACGATGTTTGTATACATCAGCTTTACACTACTTCTAAAGCTTCTTCTTATTCATTACAAACGATTTCATCAAGCAAATGGCTTTGATGAAATCTGCCCCCCCCCCCTCACCCCTCATCTCTCTCTCTTCTCTTATTCACCCCACCACGTATCTCTACGTCTTCCGTAAATATTATCAGGAATTGTCTTACAAATCCTGAATTCACATAAAAACGCAATTTGCTGAGATCTCTGATAATTACAGTTCTTCTGAATGTTCTCGCGAAATTCAATTTGAAAGAAAATTTTTGTGTGGCTGAGGTTGAATTCTATGTCCGCTCCTCCTGCCTACCTCTCTCTACACATCTGTCTCTCCAAACGATCATCAGAAGCCACATACATGCAACACAGCCATCCGATATCTTGTGTTTCCAATCGCAAATTGACATTAATTGATGAAGAATGTTCACAAAATAATGACAAAAGGATCATTGGAGGGCCTTCAACCTTATGGTTTTCCAATTGACACCACCTCGCTCGCTTTCTAATTAGTTTGAGGGGGGCACATGGGGCAGAGAGATGGAAAGGTAGTTTATACCGGACGATATGTATCTTATTCATAATTATATTACCCATTACGGCATATTAAGGTATCTCATTAATTGATGTTCGAATATCTTTTGACGAAACCGCTACCGTTTTAAATACATTTGTTAGCCATTGGCTTTCCGGCAATTGTGTCTCGTAGTCACAAAAGCCGACATGCTTCTGGCTATCTGCCAATAGCAATAATGATCCATAGTGAATCAGATGGTGTCTAACTTAACACACACGCGTGTCGTGTATTAAAGGTATTGCTAACGGCTAATCATCTGCTGTATATTAAAACGGTACTTGGCTATTTGGCCTTCAAGCGGAAGATTTTATGAGCCTCTTCACCTCTATCTCTCTCTCTTACGTCAAAAACGGAAATGTTTAAGATGAGAACGTATCTCAGATATGAAAATAGAAAACAACAACGCACCTGGTGAATACATCGGGATAATGAGTGTTTCGAAAGACTTTTTCCAATTCATCCAATTGATAAGCACTGAACGTCGTTCGATATCTTAAAGTACATGATTGTTTTTACAAAAATTTGCTTTTATTTTTTAACCTTCTCTGTTTCCTCTTTCCATTTTCGTCATCTGGACTAGCGCATCCTGGTTCAGGAGTTGATTCACGATCAGCCGAAACGGATGGAGTAGAATCGTGAGCAACTGTAAAGAAACCTTATTTTGAATGATTTGTATCTATCATTTAGTGAATACCTGGCACTGGTGATGGTGTAGTTGGTTTGCGATCATCCTGATCTTTAGCATGATCTTCTGGATCAGGTTTTGTTAATGCCGCGATGGCGAAGTTGCTTGTAAACGGAGTGACGTTAGATGCTTGTGTTCCAAATAACTGTGGTGAGAATTGAGCTAGTTGCTCCAATTGCTTTTGCATAGTCGTCGAAAGATCATTGCTAGCGGAATATCTCAGAAGTTGAGCCATGTTCATGATGCTTCCGTACTTATCAGATCCGACGTTTGTAGCTTGTTCAAACTCGTCAATGACTGGCATACAAGTATCTGCAATGGCAACAAGTGAATATGTGTGTCTATGGCATGGAAATATAAGAAGATAAGGATGAGGAAAAAAGAAATGAATTAAAAAGCAAAAACATGAAGAAAACGAATAACTAATGACAGCAGAAGCAGCAGCAAAAAAACGACAATGAAGTTTATGAAAAGACGACGATAATAAGTGAAAGAATCACGAGACGGAAATTAAAGTAGATTAGGCTGAAACAATTCATAAACATGTATCAAGAAGCATCAAAGTTAAATCAGATCAAAACATTGTTGGAAGGAGGTGGAGAGGGGGGGGGAGATGTGAACAAGCTCTAGATGCTTAGGAGGCTCATTTTGGTAACGGATGCAAACGAAATATGAAAAAAAAGGAAGGGAGGTGCTTGTGTTTGTTTGAACGCTAATTAAGACAGAAAAATGATTTGGATGGATTGCCGTTAGGATGAATTGCATACATGTAAGGTAAGTGACACCTTTAATTAATGAAGAAAGGGAGCGAAGAGCAAATATATTATAAGAAGATGTAAAAGGATAAAGGCAGGAGGAGATCATGGAGGAGGAGGCAGGAGGAGGAGTAGATAGCGCAGAAGAAAAAATTTACATAAATGATAAATGAGAAGGTAAGCTTATGAGACTTATGGACAGGTGTCTCAATCCATAAATGGGATAGATTAATATCGATGACAAGCTAATTACAGAATGGCAAGACGATTGAACATGGGACATAGATAATAGTGGTTGATAATAAAAAACAACACAACGATACTAAACGCTTTCTTCATCCATCATATGGATGCAGATCTTCGACTGATCATCGCTGACAAGCATGTCCTTAACAGTGCACTCACTTATCTCACGTCTTCTCCCTCTCAACCCTAATTACCGTAATATGCGATAAGGTATGCCGAAAAATAATTTTCATTCTTATATAGCACCCAAAAAAAAGGCATTCGTGACGTTGTACGAGAATAAAAAACGAAAAAAATATGAGAGAGGGAGGGTGAGAGAGAGAGACTGATTGAGAATGAAGAGAGTTAGCAGGAGCAACAGCTTGACCATCCCCTTTTGACACTAACTAAGCATGTAACAAGCTCCGCCAGCCGACCTGTAACCGGATGCTCAATGTTCTCTCTATCTCAGAGTCTCGCACTCTCTCTCGCCCCCACTAAACCCTCCCTCTCATTTACGTTTCATAAATATGATTGTTCTCTTTGATGTTCATTCACGGAAACATGTGAATAGGTGAGAAATCAAGACTGCACCAGATTTTCAATTAATATGGGAAAAGGGGAGGTCTCTTAATTTGATTTTGGAAAAAGCAGTAGCAGCAACAGCAGCAGCAGCAGCATCAGCAGGAGGAGAAGAAGAAGATGAAGAAGCTTAAGCATAGGAAAGCTTCATGCCAGAACCTTTATGAAGAGACGACGTATTTTCATTGAAGAAGAGTCTGTCGTCCTTCTCTAAAGACTAATATTGTTTGATATAGGAAGATGGCGATAAATGTAATTAAGGGATGCGAGTCCTGAGCAGAAATTCATTTGGAATTGATATGAAATTAGGAAAACTATGGACACGCCATACATATTGATATGGATACATAAAGATATTGGATAAAAACGAAGAGATGCCTCAAGCAATTGCCAACAGCTTCTTTCGTCTGTCATCTCTCTGAACTCTCTTTCTATCTCTCTCTTCGTATTTATATATTTATCTTTATACTCTCTCATTGTTAGTATCTCTCTCTCTAGGTTTTCTCTAAGGCAATTCAGTGTGTCTTATTCAGAAGCACTTCTTCACACCAGATTCTCATCTGAAGTTCATATTATTTAAATGGCTAGCATAATATAATGAATATTAGTTGGATAAGTATCCTTTTTGCAAATTCAAAATGATTTTCCATCGTGCTAAACGACGTCATGAGAGAATGGTCCTGCTATGACCATCAGAGATGAAAATGAGATGAAGCTGACAATCTCACACATATAAATATAATTAACTAAATATCAATTAATAATCTTAATGAATAAGTTGACAACAATTGGTGGAAAGGGGCCAAATTAAGTTTCGTTTTTCAAACATCCAAACTTCTCTCTGTTAATTAAGCAACTTAGAAGTTAGTTAGAGCTTTTGATCGGTAGCAATGAAGACAGACGTCAGTCTAGTCTCATCATGTCTCTAACCTAGGAGAATCAGAATGAAGTATGTGTATGTGTGTGTGTGTGTATGCTTGATTCACAAACACAAACAAAAAGTTTCAAACTGTATACGTAATGAGATGGAAGTAGATTGAAGTTGATGAAGGGGACAACTTCATGGCCAGGGAACCTTGCTAGAATCTCATGGGGATATCATTCAGCAGATTATTATGTATATTTAGCGAAATAAATTGTTATAAGTAAATAAATATAAAAAATATATTTATAACTAACTATGGGAGGTTCTTCAATTTAATTTAACCAATATAAATTCTTGTTTTGACAAAAAATATCTCAGAACGTTGAGAGATGGCAAGTCAATGATGGAATGAGCGAAGGGTTCACACGTCTTTAACAGGGTCGTCGCTTCAATAGCATATCTAACATAGTCTTCGGTGAACAGTTAACATTCAAAATATTAATTCACGTGATGTTATAACGTGTATTCACGTTGCTAACACAACATGCCTGATTCAAATATTCTAATCAGGCATTCAAGCATCAATGCATTGAACCACGTGTATATATGTGTGTGCGTGAAGGCGTATTAGAATACGTGAACTCTGACGCTATGTGGCAAGCAGCAAGATGGATAGTTTTCTTGAAATCTTTCATTTTCAAACGAAATCAAAGTGTTGAACGGTTGCTTTTGCTTGTTTGATCAGTTCATTCTAATTATTTTTATTTTCAGGATAGAAATCTCATGTTTTTTTCAAAAAGTAATAGTATGGTAATAGAAAAATAATTTATGAAAGGAGGGGGGGGGGGAGATGCAAAAGAATTTCCATCGTTATGTTTTGGAGAAAGAAGAGAAAAAGTTATTATTGAGAGGGAGAGAGGGAGAGAGAGATTGTTAAGCTAAGTGAGGATAATTGTTTCATTAAGGTTACAGCTTGGCGATGTTCATTTTTTTAAAGAGATTGTAATAAAACAACAACAATGAGAGAGGGAGAGGTAAAGAGGGAGAATAGTGATGATGAAGGAAATAAAGATAAAGAGGGAATGATAGAGAGAGAGAGGGAGAGAAGGTTGTGGATATGAAAGGATGAAAACGTGTAAAGGATTGAATGTCTATATATAGAGAGAACATGTAAGGCTGCTTCTGCCGCGTGAACATTAGCAAATTATAACTGTTTTGGCAAGCATAGCAGAAGCCCCAACGGGAGTAATTGGATAAATTAAAAATGGGCAAATACGAGAAGATAAATAACTAATGTAATAGCTTTAGATGATAACATGAATATGAATATCATTAAAAATAGAGTGGAAAGAAAGTTTTTTTTCTTTTCTGATCAGCTCATTCTTGATGTGTTAATTGAATGAGCTCAAGTACAACCAGTCTCTCTCTCTCTCTTTCATTTTCTCTCTCTCTCTCTCTTTGTATATGATGTTGAGAGGAAAAGAGGTTAACTATCCTCTTCTGTCTGTCTGAGGTCTGTCATCATCTCACATTCTAATGTTGCTCATTTCTATCTCTCTCTCTCTCTCTCTCTGTGTTTCAGTATAAGCAAGTAGTTATGTCATTCTCTCCCTCTCTCTCTGTCGCTTCTTTCTCTCTCTAAGCTTAAAGTAATACTTAGAAATGGAAAATTATAAAAATATATAATGAAATTCATAGAATTAAATGAAAATATATAGTAAAGAAGATGATGATAATTGAAAAATAATGAAAATATTTCAAATTATATTAGGCGCCAAAACAATATATTAACTATTCTCTTTTCTCCTTTTTTTTTCTCTTCTTAAATATTATTTTTATTTAGAACAAGTAGAAGCATTTGATTATCTTCACTTCTTCCTCTCACTCTTCTATTGCACGTCTTCTTAATACCTTCACATGCATATATAGAGAGAGAGATAGATAGATAGACAGAGAGAGAGAGAGAGACTCATACACCTATACACATACACACACGTACACACACACACATCATACACACACACACACACACACATACACATACAGATAGCTCAAAATGCATAATTTGCTTTGTTTTTTTGGAAAGCAAACTCTCGAGGCTTAACCATGATATGGTATAATTAAGTGATGGCAATGAGGATATTCTATTCAAATGTTCTTTTTTTTCAATAAATTGTTAACTATATAATAATAGTTTATAGTTATCTAATGCTTATGATTAGTCTTATTTGAAAAAAGAATAAATAATAAAGCTTAATTAAAGGGTTCTCAAGTCATTAGAAATGGGAAGACGAACGAAAAGCGTTTAGTCTGATGAATATTTGAATTAAATGAGGGAAAACGAATTTCTGAGCAAGGTATAGATTCTCTCTCTCCATCACTCTCTCATCTTCATTCTATGAAGTTACAGAGAGAACTTCTTGACAAGACAGACAAGAGAATGAGATTGCATGAAGTAGAGGTGTGTGTGTGTGTGCTTCAGTGAAGGAGGAAAAAAGAGAAATGTAGTTCCCCCTTTAAATGACCGAAATCATTGAGAAAAGGTCATTTGTTCAGTTGGCTGGCTAGCCTGAACAGACCAAGTGGACAGTTTAAAACGGTCATTAACCAGACGGCTAATTAAGTGAAGGTACAGGTGTAACATAACATCCAAATAGAGACAGTCAATTGATTCTAGAATAGCTAACAATCACCACCATTCAACTGCTTAATGACTTTAGTTGGCCATGTTAATGATGAGCCATTATGAAGATTTTTGAAAAAAAAAGAGAAATGAGGTGATGCAGAATGAAGAAATGACAAATAGTTTTCCTTCGTTTGTATCTGTATGATGTAAACGATGATGTATGAAGATAAGCCTGAGGCAACGATTAAGAT